AAATATAAACATAACAATAATTCTATATATGTTAAGTTACAAATTATATTTTTTGTTGTAGTCATATTACTTGTTTGACAAGAATGCAAATTTTTATTTACTTGAGAAACTACTCAATATATAAACAGGTCTCAGAAATTATGGAAGTGCATAATACCTTAGCTATTTTAAACGGTATTTTATTAATATGTATCAATGACGCATATAAATGATATATGTATTATAATGTATTTGTTATATGAATTAATTTGTATATATGCATATATAAATATTTGTGCTCAATGAAGTACAAGATACGCTACATGTATTTGTTTATATATTATCTATTTGGAATGTAAATAATAACAATAATCTCTGTTTATATTTCATAATGTATAAAAATAAATTTCTATTTAATACGTAGTGTAATTTATCAAATTTTTCTACACATAGTTTTTGAAAATATAGTGCTTCACAAAAACTTTTCCTCCTTTTTAGATTGAAGCGGAGATCTAAAAATTTTTGGTAACAATTCAAAGAACTTATAACTTCTTTACTATTAGCATAAAAACTTATATAGATGGTTTGTTAGTATTAATTTACTTATATTATATGGTACTTCTGTGAGAGATACATGATATATACTCATGTATTACAAAAATCATTGGTACAGACTAGGATAAATGTAAATTCATGATTATGAAAATTTTTTTTGTTCAGTTAATCATTGTTAAATGTTGATATTAGTTAATACATAACTCTTTTATGGTATAACGTAAATGTAGTTTCATGAATTGAACTACCAACTATTTTTATAATTTGGTTTTAAAAATAATATTTCAAGTGTGTTATATTTAAACTTATGGTTTGTTAATCATGTTAAAGACTTTTTAATTTTATATGTAAGCACCATAAGTTAATACAAATTTCCAAACTTGTGCAATGTATCATTTAATATACGTACACCGAATTATCGTATAACATTTAAAGGCACAGTCATATTTCTTGGCAAACGGTAAGATATACTTGCAGCTAGATTTTCAGGCAATTCGTGCCAAATGTATTTCCCAATAGTAGGTACATCTTCTACAGGCAACTTGAACGATACAAGTAATGTTAAACAAAGTCCATCTTTTTCCGGTCCACCACTAAACTCTACAGACAATACACCATGTGGTCTATGTTGTGCAACTCCACTGCCAAATAATTCCTATAACAATCGTTTAATAAAATATCATAGTCCATATAAATATAATGTTATTTTATATAAAAATAGTAACTTACTTCCATAAAATTATGTAAAGTCGAGAGCAGACTGTGATTTGGATTAATTTCACAGATTGGCAAATGATTTGGTATTGTATTAGACACAAGAACATGTAATTTATTCCTGTTGACAAAGTGTATCATAAGACTTTTGATTTATCATTTATATAAAGTTATATAAAATTGTTATATTAAAGAATAAAATGTTAGCACTATTTATTACAAAATTTACTATATAATTTATTAAATTTTGAATCTATTATAAATACATGTATTAAAGAGAATATAATTAAGCACATAATTTACAAATTATATCTAGAGATATGTTAACATGATTTGGAATATATATTACAATACAGACTAATTGAATTTAAGAATATATAAATTAAACTTCTTATTCAATGATTTGAAATGGTTAGTATTTTGAAGAAAAAAAAACATAATACATAAAAAATACAATCTTTGTTATATAAATGTATATGTACAAGTGCAAGTGTGCATATGTGTACCTAGTATACTCCAATCTAAGCCTTCATCCACAATCACAGTCATAATCAGATTGTCGTTGTTCTGTTACAAAAACTATCACCAGTGACCTTATACTGAAAGCGCGTATACTAAAGAGGAGTTAAGCATAAGCAATGATACATATATAAAAATAAATTAGAAAATTAAACATGATATAAGTTTTGAAGAAACTACTGTTGCAATTTAAATTGCATTTAACTTACGTTGCTCTCATTTTTGAAGTAATTGTAAGTCGCAATAATAATTTGTTCAATGATTTACTAGCTGGAATTAAGTTTGGATGTTGCGAAATACCCTTGTTCATAACATAAAATTTAGCTCTTTCTATAAGAGGTATAATATCATTTGCTCTAAGTGTCAGGTCACTTATATTATGTACCCAACAGGCCTGTAATGATTCCTTGTTTGCTTCTTCTAAAGTTTTCAATTGACCTCCAATTATTGTACCAGTGAAAACAAAACGATACCATGAACCGCTTGCACACTCAACTAATATCAAAGTTTCTGGTTGTAATATAAGGCCTGTTTCTTCTAAAACTTCCTTTTTAACAGCATCTAATAAACTTTCATTAGGTTCAACTCTACCAGCTGGTAAATACCATTTTCCATGACAACAAGACTTTGCTTCTTGCATCATTAATATATCTCCTTGTTCATTTATAACAACAGCAGCAACAATATATGTTACAGTTTTTTGGCAAATGGGAACATAATTGGTGGATGTTTTTGATCCTATAAAATATATTATTTCTTTAGAAACTATTGTTCTTGAAAGTATGTTATAAAAAAAAAGAAGAAAATACAATGATATACTGTAATATAATAAATCTATAAATAACACTGATTATAAGAGAATAAATACAATATAGCTTATAACATATTTACGATATTTGATACTGATAATTTAAATTTTAATCAAACGAAATGTTTAATTAAAGATTTCAAATTCGCAATAAGTATAATGACAAATTATCTTTTAAACTAATTAAGATAAAAATTTATATAAAATATATTTTTACCTAGAATATCAGTTTCTGCGGCATGAATAACTTCGTGCGTGTCATCAATTTCTAAAGAATTTCCAGCTAATAATAGTTCAATTTGATCTTCAATAGTTAACGACATGTTAAAAGAGTAACACCAACTTTATCTTATGTACTTAACAAATATGTAAATTGTATATTAAATATAACAGATCATTCCCTCTCTTTTAACAATAGGGAAGGTTATAAACAAAGTGAAAGTGTCAATGATCACACATGATTTAATTAGGTATCTATCTGTATCCGGGTACAATTTTAACTATGCCATTTCTACACAGTAAGACCACTTACATCCTTATACGAATTAAATTCCCTAGACATAACTTGAAAAATTTAGCATACATTTGTTATTTATTTAAATATATAAGTACTAGAAAGTTACGCTGTTAATTCGTAACACATTCTTTATTTCAACTAACTCTACAAAGGAAAATACGAGTGTTTTTACCGCGAGCCACAGGCATGTCGTGTCCCTTCCATCTCTTCAGGAAAAATCCCTAGACTTCACAAGCAATTAATGTCCCCATGCAAATAATTACAATCACTAGTAATTACTAAATAAATAAATATTTAGGTAGGTACCTAGGTAATATTAGTAGTACCTTTAAATACGTGACAATTCAAGATACAGAAATATATATCGATAATTCTTTCTTTTTATTAAGGCTTTTAGTTTAGTCTTTATTTTTGAGCCCAAGATTTTCATCCTAGATCACTATGATCTAATTATTGTAGATTAGGTTTTATCTTATTAATCGATGATTTGCGACTTGAATTATTTAAAGACAATTAAACTGGAGAAAAAGAAAGTTGATAATTATTAGAATTTTACCACTTTTAAAAGTTGTCAAAATTCTAATAGATCGTGATAAAAACCAATCAAGAAATATTTCATTAAATAATCATAAAATAATGTAATATTTGTAAATTGTATATATTTCTTAAATAAATTTGTTTATAATATTATATTTTCCATGTTGTTCCGTTTTCAAGTGTTTTCGATTCTTTATATTTAGTTTCTGCTTCCCCTTTTGTTCAGTGATTTATAGAAAGTGGAGATACATGTATATAAAGAAAGAGTAACACTGTCTCTAAATGGTGTTTCAAGGTATCCTAGTTTAAAGACTTGAATAAAAAGATCCAATAAAAACATTCTAATAAAAGTTTTACATTTGTAAAAAAACTGATTTATGCCCTGAGTTTTAATATATAGCGCGAAGCAGTGCAAAGCTCTTATCGCCAGGATACTGTATTGCGTTTAATGGTGTATGTAGCGCCACACAGAGTTGAATCTATAGGAATATTTCAAATAGGGACTGTGAGTCCGTCATTGTTCCCGGGAAGATTCGTATAACCTCTTTCTGCTTGCACAATATTTGCAAGAAATATGCGTGTTTGCTTAATTTCTTGGTCATTGTTGGTAAATTGACAGTTTTTTTAAACGAAGTCAACATTTCTTCGTGATTCATCAAAGGCTATTTTGCAGAAAAGAATTTGACACTTTGAAGCTTGACAATTGCATTTTAATAACAATTTCAATTAAGACTACTTCTTGTACTTTGGAACAAACCTCGCAATGAGAACAACTTTGACAGCAATACTGTGATTTAAACAAGTACAATTAACAACAAATTAACGTATATTCAATTTCAAAAGAATTCAGCTGATCAATACGTGCACTTCAATTGTTGCAAGCATCAGTAGAAAGTGTGATTATAGAAACATTGTGCATTAGTGGTACTCAGTTGACAGTACCAAATGTCAAAGAATAAATTAAATTTGACATTACCTCCTGGCTCTATAGAACCAGTACCAGCTGTTTCGCCTTCTCCACCAGTACCACCATTGCCTATATATTCTGAGCCACCAGTTATACCAGAGTAATTAAGTTTTATTATTCTTATTGCTTTTTTACTTGTTGCAATATTAATTCTACTTTTTCACTTTCATTCTCTGATTTATGTTTGTTACAACCATAGCGGAGTTATGGGTAAAATGAGCATAGATGCGATTCAAGAAAGGTTAGAGGAATTAGAAATGGATGAAGAACAGAGAAAAAGACTGGAAAGTTTTTTAGGACAAAAAGAAAAGGTTGGAGAATTGTGTGCTGATGATTTTGAAAAACTTGGTGAACTTGGTGCTGGTAATGGCGGTGTTGTAATGAAAGTGAGACATAAAAAATATGGTCTTATAATGGCTAGAAAGGTGTGGTTTACATTTATTTAATATTAATCTCTGGTATTTGATACAGTAATAATAAATGTAATATTTCAGTTAATACACTTAGAAGTTAAACCTGCTATAAAGAAACAAATAATTAGGGAACTAAAAGTTCTTCATGAATGTAACTTTGCCCATATAGTTGGCTTCTATGGTGCTTTCTACAGGTAAAGCATTTTACAAAACTGTGAATAAATTTCAATAAATTTAATACTTGATATATTATTTTATTTATTATAGTGATGGAGAAATTAGTATATGTATGGAATACATGGATGGTGGATCACTTGACTTAATATTAAAGAAGGCTGGGCGAATTCCAGAACCTATATTAAGTACAATTACTTCTGCAGTAAGTATTAAAAGACTTTATGGTAACTACTTAATAATAAGTTTCCTGTTCTATAATTCCACCAGGAAATTTACGTATACATAATCTTCTTAATTCATCATATATCCAAAGAAACAAACCAAGAGGTAGACACGGCCAATACCAATAAACACTTAAAGGCATGGTCTTAAATATTTTCTCAGTTCCTGGTACATATATTAGAATACCAGTTATAATAATTTCAAAAATAAATGAAAAATTTAGGAACCAGTTGTCCATTCCTTGCTGCAAGATTGAGTTCATTCTTGTTTTACACATTACTAAATCTATAAGTTGTGTTATGACAATGGATAAAAAGTATCCAGTACGAGCTTCATTTAATAAATCCATTCTAGTGTCATAGGTCCATGTTTGACCATAAGAATCTGTTAAATCATTGATAGACTTGTTCTCCCATTCTAGTCTTAATCCTAATAGACGGTCAGGTAAAAAACCGTTTAACATAAAAATCATAAAGTAGGTATAAAAGCCAGCTAATGACTGTGTCATTCCAATCTGTCCATAAGCCACAGATATCAAACGTTTATTTACAAGTTTATCATATTGTGGATTTCTTGGTGCACGATGCATAATGTCAGACTCTGCTTTTTCATATGCCAATGCAATTGCTGGAAGTAAATCTGTTCCAATGTCTATGCATAGAATCATTTCAAGAATAAATGGAAGAGGAATAGCAAATACAAGGCTACTTAACATGGGTAGCATCTCGGGAACGCTAGATGTTAATGTGTATACAATAGATTTTTTAAGATTGTCGAATATTAGTCTCCCTTCTTCAATGCCAGTTACAATTGTAGCAAAGTTATCATCCATAAGAATCATGTCGGCAGCATGTTTTGCAACATCTGATCCTGTAATACCCATGGCAATACCAATATTTGCTTGCCTTAGTGCAGGTGAATCATTAACACCATCACCAGTTACGGCAACTATCTCTCCTAATCTTTGACAACTTTCTACTATAAGCAGCTTTTGTTGAGGAGATGTTCTCGCAAAGACAATTTCTTCATAATTTCTTATAATGTGATCTAATTCTGTAGCATTCATACTTCTTAATTCGGCACCAGTAATAATTATTGCCTGTGTATCGATATCTGATATTTCAGAGCTTGATTTATTCTGTAGTACTGCTCTTTCATATTTAGTTTCATTCTCCTCGCTAATAATACCAACCTTTTTCGCTATTGCCATTGCTGTTACAGGATGGTCACCAGTTACCATTATAACCTTAATTCCAGCTGTACGGCATTTCCTCACAGCTTCTGGTACAGCAGGTCTTGGAGGATCTATTAAGCTTATTAATCCAACAAATCTGTAACCTTTTGTTGGAAAATTATATGTACTTGCAATGTCTGTATTAAATTTAAAATCTGGCCCATACATATCATTGTGTAATTGAAGATCACAGTAGGCTAGTACACGTTGACCTAAATATCCTAGCTCTGCACAGGCTCTTCGAGATATTATATGATCCATTGGTGTCATTTCTTTAGTCTCTCCTTCTGCGGTTAGTATTTGTGTACAGTTATCCAATAACACTTCTGGTGCACCTTTCAAAATCATTACATATCCAACTTCATCTCTGTGTATTGACATTTGGTACTTAGTTACTGAATTGAAAGGTATTTCAGCAACTTTTGGATGTTTATCACGATATGTTTTTGTGTTGTGTATGTGTTCACAAAATCTGAGAATTCCAGTTTCAGAAGCATCACCAACTATCTCACATTCATCTATTGGTTTTAATAAGGTTGATTCTGTAATAAACTCAGCACGTAAACAAAGGGTAGCATTTTTAATGATGATATTAAAAGCTGGCTTCTCCATTAGTAAGTTCTTCTCAACACCCAGACTTTCTCCTGGTGAAAAATGATATCTTGTATGACCGAACCATAAATTGGACACAGTCATTTTATTTTGTGTAAGAGTGCCTGTTTTATCAGAGCAGATTGTTGATGTTGATCCAAGTGTTTCTACAGCCTCCAGGTTCTTTATTAAGCAATTTTTTGTTGCCATTTTTTGGGCTGTCAGCGTCAAACTTGTTGTAACAGTTACTAATAGAACTTCTGGTACATTTGCTATTATAATCCCAAGTAGATAAGTGGATGCTTTCAATAAATTAGGATCTATGATTAGGGATAACACGAAAAATAGCATTCCAAATATTATAGCAACAATAGTAATTATTTGAACGAAATATTTAATTTCTTTAGCTATTGGAGTTTCAGTCTTTATAAGCTGTGATGTTAAACCAGCTAATCTTCCTATCATTGTATTATCACCAGTAGCAATTACTATGCCTTTACCTTCACCATCCACAGCAAAAGATGAGAAAAAGGCGATGTTAGAAGATTCTAAAGGATTGTCATCTGTAGGATAATTGGTTCTAATTACTGGTTCATTTTCACCAGTAATGCTAGAATTCTCAACCCTTAGTTCGTTACATTCTGTGATTCTAATATCGGCTGGTATTTTATCGCCAAATTTAAAATGTACTAAATCACCTGGAACTAGTTTTTCAGTTGCTACACGTAACTTGACTCCATCGCGTATTACTGTTGCGAAAGTTGGTACCATTTTTTTAAAAGATTCCATTACCTATGGACAATAACACAGAGGAAACCATTTAGTATGAGTAAATTATTTATCACTCAATGTATGAAATTGTAATAGGTAATTAATTACCTTTGTATTCTTGCTCTCTTGTATATAGGCAAATACACCAGAGATTATACAGATCACGACAATAATAATACCAAATATTTCAATACCTCCACCAGTACCTTCAACCACAGTACTGACACCATACAAAATAAAAGACAATACCGAACAAGCCCATAATAAATTTGCAAATCCGTGAAACATACATTTTAAAAATTTTATGTACTCTGGAGTTTCCTTGGGTGGAGATAGAGCATTAGGTCCTACCCTAAGAAGAACTTTATGTGCTTCTTCTTCGGTCAAACCATTATTTACATCAGTGTTTAACTTTTCGCATAATCTTTTTAATGAAATTGTATGGTCATTGGTACTTAACTCTTTATGAAGATCTTCTATCTCATTTTCAGATAGCTTTTTCTTAATGACATGAGTAAAATGTGTTGCTGAATGAATTCTAGATGTTGATTGCATACTCTTTAAGTAACAGTTTTAAATAAACTATAATGTGTTTACAGCTGAATATTGATGATTTTCAAGATTCAATTGTTTAGAAATTATGATCATAGAATTTGTGTGTTCATCTTTATCTCTCGTCCTCTTATCATTTAGTATTTTAGTCATTATAATTTATAATAATTATTACATATTGTAATATTCCTAAATATATCTGCTTCTAATATTAATAACTTTAGAATTGTACGTGCAAGTAGAAAAATATCTATTTTCTATCGAACATGAGAAGCATAAAATTTCAAAATAATTTACACCTCAAAAAGTTAAAAAATTCATAAAATAAATTCATACAATAATTTTAAGTATCTTTGTAGGTGTTGAAAGGTTTAAGCTATTTACGGGACAAACATGCAATTATGCATAGAGATGTAAAACCGAGTAACATTTTGGTAAATAGTGCTGGAGAGATTAAAATTTGTGATTTTGGTGTGTCTGGTCAACTAATAGACTCTATGGCTAACTCATTTGTTGGAACAAGAAGTTACATGTCGGTAAGAAATTATTGACATAATTATGATCGTTGTTATTTAAAGTTTATGCCTAGCCTATTTGTTGCTTATTTTTTTGCAGCCAGAGAGACTTCAGGGTACACATTACTCTGTACAGAGTGATATTTGGTCATTAGGACTATCGCTTGTAGAGATGGCCATTGGAATGTATCCAATTCCACCACCAGATGAGAAAACATTAGCTGCAATATTTAGCACTCCACCAGGACAACCACCTGCAGACAGTGCCACTACAAATAATGCTTCTACTCCGACACAATCACCTGGACACAGTTAGTTTTATATTTTTTATTTTATTTCTGCTTTGGTATTGTCCAATTCTTTTCTAAAGGCCTTTCTAACTTTTTTGTTTAATACAAATCAATTATTTAGATACAGGTAGCCCACGACCAATGGCTATATTTGAACTGTTGGACTACATTGTTAATGAACCACCACCAAAACTGCCAGCTGGAATTTTCAGTGATGCTTTTACAGATTTTGTTGATCGTTGTCTCAAGAAAAACCCTGCTGAAAGAGCAGATTTAAAGACACTGATGGTAAATATTATATTTGTGCAGTCAATATTTATTTAAATAAGTATACTATTGTTCTTTCTATTTATATTCATTATTAGAACCACGAATGGATAAAAAAAGCTGAATCTGAGAATGTGGATATTGCCGGATGGGTATGTCGCACAATGGATTTACAACCGACTACACCAACTCGTTTAGCGAACGTACAATCCTGAATAAATGTTACTCTTACATACTTGACTACCTATATACGCGTTCAGTACTCTTAAATAAATTTCAGTTTCTTTTCGTTTAATTGGTGTAGGCAGTGGCGTTTATGAATCTTTTTTTTATGATAATAATTCCTGAAACGTAAGTGGTTCGCGATTTTGAAAATAGACTAGTATTATATTCTATATAGTTCACTAATGTATACCCAGAATATATTTTATACATCGTTGCTCAATCATGGACTAGTGTTTGAGTCAAAGCATTTACCGAGTAGAACTTTTTTAAGTATGTTAAGGTATATTTTATTACGGTGTACCGCACATTTATTCTCTCTTTAATGACGGAAATTAATAATTTATAGATTATAGTTTTAATTGCATTCAAATATTGCGTTATTTTAATTTTAGGATTCAAATTGTAGGGCATTAGATTATTTTCATCTATGCACTACAGTCTGATTTCAAAGTCGCGATATACAAATCTATAGAAATGAACAATGTATGTATGTTCAAGATGTAATTAATTTTACTGTATATACTATATTACGAAATATGAAAAGATGTTTTTAAACATATTTGCATAAAATACGTCACTGTACTTGAATTTTATTCATTTTTAGACGTGTTTTTTTTTACTATTATCTTATGTTTCTGTTACAAGTATGTAAGATGAACAATTATCGTTATAAGTTTAACGTTATTGTACACTCATGGGCAAATTGTGTTCCCTATGATGATACTAGGATACATAAATGGGCATCGAATTTATGAAAACATTGATTCGAACAAAAGAAGTGTTAACTAGAGATCAAGTTACTAGTATAACGTTTGTACCTGACATTCGTAGAGCATTATTTACACGATTAAATGAAAAAGACTTTTGTTCCATTATTGCTAGAATGCCATGCTATTTTTTACAAGCAATTAATCCACGATTTGATGCGATTTGAAACTGTAGTTGAATAAAACAGTATTTCGTGTAGTGAATAGGAAAATATTGGACATATGTGTATTTCATGTAATTGCAATAATTACTGTCTACGATATTATTGTATGAAACTTTACCATAAAAATGGTGTTTATTCATAATAATATTTTTAACAGTGAATTATTGTATCCTATGCAATTTAAGAATGACCCTGAAGTACTTTTTTATTTAGCATCAGTTAATATGAAACCACCATGTCCTGGATAAAGATATTTTAACCCCTTCAACCCGACGTTCGTAAAGAGTTTAGATTCATAAATTTTCAAATTTAATATCTATTTATGGTACATATTAAAATACAAATATTATAGTTTGACATTTGACGTGATAATCCTTCTTGTACTATGTATCTGTTTTTTATCTCATTTATAAAATATTGTATTTGATTGACACAGGAAGATTTTTAACTCACGTAAATCAAATACATTTTTCGTAATATATTTCCTTCATCAAATTTTCGTAATTATTATAAGAATTGTGTTTGTTTGAAGTAAAGACATTAATTGTATATACACGCCCAATATATACCTGTTTAAATTTACCATTTGATTTCAATAATCAGTTTAATCATAATTCTATATTGAAATGTTTAATATCAAATTTTACATTTATCACATGGAAGGAGATATGTAAATACCAGAGGATCGAAGGGGTTAAAACAATTTCTAACAGAAGATATTTTTCCTAAGTGTTTAATCTCTTTTTAATGTGTATTCGAGTAGTGTAATATCTTTCCAAATATGCGTTAAATTGTCATATTGTATCATGGTCCAAGACATTACACTTCAGGGGTGCAATGGATAACATAATTTTGATGCGTGTCCATGTGTTCACACAATATAAGTATATATACAATTGTACCTATTGTATAGCTGTGCATAGAGTCTTTCTTGTGTAATTTTTGTGAATTATATTTGGAAAACCAGCCACTTATATGGCTGTATTTGTATTTATATGTACTTCAGTAATTAAGTGTAATTAGGAGATGTTAATCATTTTTCTTATAACACATGAATAAGAAAAATAGTTCAATGAGATTTTAATTTCATTAATTTTTGTTAAATACACATTTAATCGAAACATTAGAAAATATAGATATTGTTAATTTTGTTGGTGCAGTCTAGCAAACATTTGTTTTATCATTTTTTAATTGGACACTACTTTGTATCGATAGTGAAATGTTTAATATTGTACAATTTAGCAGGTATATAGATGCTTATCATTGGAATGTATGGACAAAGAATATCTATATGTATATAGAATACCGATAATGTAAAACATTCGGATTATGTTATATGCAAAAGTTATAGATTCCATTATCCCCTTACATTAAAAGCGCCGTAATAAAATTATTAATTAATAATTACAGGTAAAATTCCTTATACAAGTGCGACGTTATATTACATCTGACTCCCAGTTCTACGTACTCATGTTTGCTTAGACATTTTTTCTTTTGTAGAACACAGATGTAGTTGTTTAGCCTTTTCCGATTTGGCTTAAAAAAATATCGGAGAGTACTACGAGCATATTGTGATGTTTGCAAGCACAGTGAGAGTTTGCTCACTAATGTGCCTCAGCGTAAGACGCCCAAGAACTGATTTTTCGTATTATGTTTATACATCTAATGGACGATATGCGTAACGCTATTTACTACAGACACGACTTTCACGACATATATATATTATAAACAAGAATCATTTTTAATACCAGAATTCTGTTAGAAACAAAAACGAATGTAAAATAACACAGTTGAAAAAAAGCCCAATTCACGAACCAGTGAATTTTAACTGTCAAAAGACCGATTACTTCTGGCACTTATTATAAATATATGGATATATTCCTTGTTGCAAATTTGTGCATAATAATTGCCGTTGTATCGATTTACTGTCTAAATGTTGTAATTATGCAAAGAATAAATTTATCCTATATTGAAGCATGTTTTTCTTGATTTAGAACCTAAATAATCAGACCTTCAAACATAAAAACGTTGAACATTTTATTACAAAAGGAATTTACAAAAACATTGCACAGTATTTTATTAAGGTACAAATTGTATACAAAAAGTAGTTTAATTAAAAGAGTACATTAACTATGTGCAAAAACGGCGTGACTTCTTCAAACTTCTTGAGGTTTACTTTAGTTCTTCCAACAAAAATTTTTAAAACTTTATTATTAACTCTATTTACAGTAACCGCAGCGGCTTTCTTTAGTGTGAGATTTGTAATTTTATGACAAGATGTTAAGTCTAATAATTCTAATTGAGTTGCAGATGCTAAAAGTTCAGTTATTGTTGTATCGCTAAAGCTGCAAGCACGACATTCGAATTTCTTCAAGTTACACATTTTCTGTATATCAATGTCTGTTACATTTATTAAGTGATTCATTATTAATGTTTCTAATTTTTGTAATGTTGTTACAGCTGCTATACCAACATTCGTGATCGACTGACAATCTGCAACATATAAAAAGTTATGTATGTATATGTAGAATGAGATATTTAATTCACACACTTCAATCATTTTTAAATTATGTATTGACTGAAAAATGATAATGTATAAAGTTGTATGGTTTAGAAAGTAACATTTATAATCAATTTTTTGTTATACTATACTTATCCGACAGTCTGTATCAACTTCATTATAAAAAATCTAACATTCCATTTAGAAGTTATTTGACTGTGTGAATTAAATATCTCACCTTGTATATATTGTGAAAGAATATTTAGCTTACTAGAGATATCTAGATAAGTAAGTTGTTGACATTTTGATGCTATGTTACAAAGAAGTTCATCCGTAATAAATGTATTACCATAAATTATTAGAACTTCAAGATTAGGGAGTTGTGTGATGGGTAGCATATCATTTGGCTCTATAAGCCAAAACTCAGAAAGTTGAAGTATTTTCAAACTTATGCAATATGTACCAATAGCTTGAATTACATTAACAGAAACATCAGACCATTGAATTCTAAGAGTCTTCAGATTATGCAACCTTTTGATTGCCTAGAAATATATAAACAATATATATTGAAATAGTTTATAAAAAAAGTATGTACTATTAACTATAAAAAATATTTAGTATACCTGAGATAAATATTGTTCTTGAAGATGCCTACAGTTTAGTAAAATAATTTCTTCCATTGCTTCTAATGGTAAATATAATAAACAACTTCCAGATACATTGTATGTATCTATTTTGAGACATCGTAATTTTGAATTCACTTCAAATAATTTTTGTAAGTCCCTGTCACGGATATTATTGATGATATCTGTATTACCAAGACTGAGTTTTGTAATGTTATGGCAATGATTTGTTAATGAATTAATTCCAGCTATAGAAACACTAAGAGAACTGACATCAATTCGTTGTAAGTTAGGACATAATTTTGCAGTAATGCTCAATGTACTCCGACTTAATTCATGTTTCATATCCGATAGATTGATTTCATTTAAAAATCTACCACACCGCAACAGTATTTTACGAAGGATAATAATATCAGTTACCACATCAGAAAGTACAGAAGTACGTGAAAAATCCAGTTTTCTAACATTGCTCCAAGATTCTTGACTTAAAGATTTCCACTTTTTGCACACTATAAACATTGAAATGTTTAATAATATAAATCTGTTGTACATATCTTATATTCTTACCTCTTTCTATTCTAACTCTATCTACAACTGGTAATTGACAAAAAATATGCTTTAAGCAATCATCATTCAATATTTGAATGTTATTCTCTGTAATGCTATTCTCAATGAAGTCTTCATTACATTGTTCATTTGACAATTTCTCACAAGATTTTTGCCAATCTTTGTTATAATATTGGTATCCTATACTATCTGGTTGATGCCATGAATCCGCTGGTTGCACTCTTAAGTATCTGTTGTGTAGTTGTATGATATCATATCTAGCTCTGTGAATTATTGAATATGTCATTAAATATTTCTAATGATTAATTTATCTTCATTTTTATTTAATTTTTACCTTATAGTTGGTTCCACTGTGTCAAAAGTAACAAAAGCAAAGTTACTTTTTCCTTGATTCCTTATTAAGAAACAACTTTTCACGTTTCCATATTTAGAAAATAGTTTTTTAAGATCTTTGTATGTAGTCTACGAAAATAGATATTTGAAAATATATTTTCAATTACATATTATACATAATATCAAAGATACAAATACAAACTCTTTTTGCTAAATTACTAATAAATAACTTTTTAATTGGTACACCATCAGTTGTCTCACGAGTACTCACATCATTAAGTAATTCTGTGACACACAAGAATTAATACTTAATGAAATATTAATAATATTGATTAATAAAGTAATATATATTATAATTACTCTTGTAGTGTTCACAATACAAGTATTTAGTAAGACTTATAGAAGTCATTCTTCTTGTTAGTAACACCACCAATTTACTTTGTTACAAATTACTTATTTTCCGTTATATTTTTTTATTTATCACCTAAAAATTAATATCATGAAGTTAGAAATTAATGCACGACCAAAAAATATTTATAGACTATTTAAATTGACGTCGTAGCATTCTGTTGAACACTGGGCATACATTGAAATAAATACAAAATATTTTAAATAATTTACATTAATTTAAAGCAAAATAAATGTTAAAAACTTGGCTTATGAGAATTTACAATTTAATTAACTTACTTTTATAACAGGGGTGTCGAACTGAAAGCTCGCGAACTCCATAGTGACTTTCCCCTCACGGAGAGTTACCCTCTCCATACTTACCTACATTTATCTGTTTGTATTGACAGTAAATAAGTACCAATCTCGGGAAGCTTCTAAAGTAGAAGTAGTAGGGGAACCCCTAATCAGAGTCACTAGCTTGAGGGGAGGCAGTTCGACACCCTTGTTATAGGATGTTACCCCGAATATAGAACGCGCTGCATTCAAATACATATTATTTATTAATATAAAAAATTCATTTTTTTCATGTCTAAACTATTTTGATCAAGAAATATACTTTGTAGTCATTGAAATTAAATTTTGTTATAAAAAAATTAAGGTACACTTAAAAATTTGTACAAAATGTTTTAGAAGTTTATTAACATTATTTTTGTAAAAATTTTGTTGAAATTGTATCCTTATAAAATGAAAAATAAATATTTAAGTTAGAAGTAAACAAGGATGTAAAGGGAATATTTGTCTATAACGTAAATCTTTATTAATAACTCTTAAAAAGGGTGGTGTATCTTTAAATGTTTCAAGATTTACTGCAGTTCCTCCAATGCATAAATTTAAAACGATGTTATTAGTTCTGCAATTTGTTGCTGCTATTGCTCTTTTTAATGTAGCATTTGTTATATTATTACATCCAGATAAATCTAATACTTCCATTTGTGATGAATGGTAAAGAAGATTAGCTATTGTTAGATCGAAAAAGTTACATTCTTGACATACCAATTGTTTTAAATTACACAAGTATGATAAACCATTGCTTGTGACTTGATACAAATCTCGCATTATTAGTATTTCTAGATTTGTCAAATGTTCTAGGGCTTGCAAAGTATAGTCTCTAATAAAATGCCCTGCAAAATCTGAAAATAACACATTTTAATGTCTTTTACATAATAAAGAAAAATACAAACTTTAGGTAGCTACACTTACCACTAAGATCTAAGTAAGTAAGCTGTTGGCAGTTCAGGCTCAATTTACGAAGGATTGAATTACCAATAAACCAATTTGCACTTACTTTCAAATTTATAAGATTACTCAGTGAAGTTATATGAGATATGCCGTTGTACTGCAACATGCTCGATTTACCAATGATTTCCAATGTTGTTAATTTTGTACAATATTTACTAATGGCTTCAGTAGTCTTTTTCCAAATATCAAAACAATCTTTAATTATAAGAGTGTTTAAATTCTCCAATTTTGCAACTGCCTAAACATTGGACAAAAAAATTATATTATAAAAATTAAAAATATGATAAATTTAAAGGCATGGAACATACTTCTACAATATCATCATCTCGAACATAATCACATCTTTCTATAATAAGTTTTTTCATTGTTTTTGATGGCAAATGTAATAAGCACTTGCCAGATATTTTATTATTGACTAGTTTGAGATATTCCAACTTTTGATTTGCTTTGAACAATTTTTCCAAGTCAGTATCAAAAAGACATATGCAATCTAAGGTAAGTTGTCTAATGTTATGACAATTATTTGTTAATGATTCTATTCCTGTCAAAGACACCTGTAGGCAACTAACGTTGATGACTTGTAGATTGGGACACAAGTTACCAATAATAGATAATGCACTTTCTTTGCCTTCACAAAATATTTTTTCTAAATGTATTTCATTCAAAAATTTTCCACATCGGGAAAGTACTTTTTGGAGAATAATTGTATTGATCTGTTTCGCTGCATTTTCAGATGAAAAACCCCAAACAGAATTCTGTAAGTTTAAAATTTTCATATTGTGCCAACTTTTTTGACTCGCATCCTGCCATTGTTTGCATACTGAAAATTTTAAATATTATTTAATTACATGTTTTTAAAATTCAATAACAGTTACATATTTTAATGTTATTACTTTTTCAAGTAATCAAATTATACGTACCTCTTTCTATTCTAATTCTATCTATGATCGGCAAATGAAGAAATATGAGCACTAAACAATCCGTATTTAATTTATAGATATTACTATTTATATTAGTTTCTATGTAATTTCGTTTATGCACTTTATTTAATCGCTTTCTTTTAATACATGTCTGGTCCATATTAAATATTGGTTTCCATAATAAATTATTTGTTAAGTAAATTTTGCCGATAGATTTTATAATCTTGACTAAAAGTAAGTACCTTGAAATTTCACTGATTTCTTATTTTTGCATTTCTTGGTTAAGATTCACGATTACACCTAGGGCTTACTAAGAAACAGTGTTTAAGAGTTAGAAAATTGATCGAATTTGAATCGCATTTGATATATTTTTAATTTTATATTGATTTAAATTTGACATTAAGTTAATTAGTCGCCTTTATATTTTTTTCAACATTACATAGTGTATACATGTATATAGTGTACACAAACTTCAAACTCTACTCTTCAAGTCTGACTTGTTAATGTGCAATTTACTTTTCAAATAACTTAATTTTCTTATTTACCTACATATAAGTAAAAGTCCCAAATAAATAAATGCAATATTGTATATTTTTGCATAAATGTACTCATTTATTTAAATATTCAATAATGTTTAAACAAACATACTTATACAGAATTGTATATAATATTTTAAATAATAGAGATCATTTTATTTCGTTTGCCTTTTATATCTTCATAAATTTTGTTCCATGATCCATAATTAAAATCTGCAAGCTCTTCTACTTGGTCCAGATATTTGTATGTTGTCCTAAATAGGGTTCTACAAAATGAAAATATCAAATTGTAAATGTTATTTACTATTAGTATTGAATTTATTTGGAATGGAATATAATAAACTTACTTGTATGTACTTGTAGTAGTATCTGATTCCTTTTGGAGATACATAACACATAAATCTGTAAGTTTAATTAGTGTAGTTAAAAGTTCAGTACTAAAAGATCCAAATCTTTCTGCAACTGCTGCAATTGTATTTTCTACACATCCTATAGCACACGTCAATTGACCTGAGAAACAGTCTTATTTAATTTATAAAAAGAATCTATATTAATATTTTATGTAAATAATTGTACAAACCCTTAGTGATATAAAGTTCTGCTATAGCATTTAAGACAAATACAATATTTTCATTATATTTATATAAAACTGTCTTCCTAATGTGTAAGCATTTTTTAAATTTATTTAATGCTTCTTCAAGTTTTTCTTGATCTATACATTCTTCAGCTGCTTGAAAAAGTGCATCAGCTTGTTTTATTTTATTTTGCTGATAAGTTATAGGTTTGTCAAAACAGTCTACACAAAATAAAGAATTCTTAATGTTGCACAATGCACCAGTACATTTTAAGCAGTTCAGAGCACTAAATCTTTCCTGCAATGGTAGATAATTAAAACTTAACAGTTAAATCATTTTATGGTATAATTAAATATTTGTATTTTTACCAAGAAATATTGCAAATCTGGTTGAGTGCAAGGTTTACATTTACAAATAAAATGATATTGACTTGACAGTATTTGTTGTCTTTCTTCTCTTGACATATGTCTGTAATGGGGACCTATTGGCAATAATATATTAGAAACAATGGAATATGAATATAAATATATGTTTAGTAATACATTCTTAATATACCATAACAATTAAAAACTTCTTCATTTGTAGCAATATCTCTTAATGCTCTAACAATCAGGTACTGATCCATAAAACTAAAATATAATAATAACAATAAAATATTATTAAAGTATGTGATTTAAATATACCATAAAAAATAAAAACTTACATGTTAAGTATGTTGGGATCACAAGAATGATTCATTATACTTGCAGATGGATAAATTCCTGTAGCTATAATATCTTGTTGATCCATATAAAAATTATCTTTGTTTAATAATATGTCTGACTTGGAAACAGCATGTCCATTACAAATAAGTTGTAGGATATATTTCAAAAGTAGAGAACTTATGTAAAGATGTTTATTATTCTCCGTTATAATATCAAAATTGGAATTAAAACTGTTATCAGAAAATTTGTTCGCAAGGTGATCATTGAGATTATTTCTTTCAAAGAAGTCAGTGTATTCTAATAAATATGTAGTAAGCATCATGGCTGTCTGTAAGAGTTTTAATTGTATAAATTACATAAAAAGTATTATCTTCTTACATCTATTCTGTGATACACACTTACAATGCCATATACTATTAGATCTTCTATGGGTAACTTATTAAAATTAGTTATTAAGTTTTGGATTTCATTAAATTTAATTGTATCTGTTGTGGTCACACAAGTAAGTAAAACTTTCAGTGCTAAATGTCCTATTCCAATTTCTCTCCATAGATTCATTTGACTTCCAGGACATTCCCAACGATGATATGAAGACCATGCTTCATTTAAGCAATTAGCATTGCAATAAAAAGTAATTAAACACTCTGTGCATCTAATGCAATATTATAATTTACAATTTTGATCACTTTAGAAAGCCATTTACTTAAGCAATTAAATGCATTACTTACGGCACAAGAACGTCTGTGTCAGAATAATTACAATTTTGACAAAAATGATCCATTGTATCATGATTTAATACTACAAAGCTTACAGGCTTTTCTAAAAATAGGATTTCACCCTTCCTTATAAATCTATTTGCTATTACATGTCTCCCTAATTCTTCATTGTATCTCCTATCAATGCTTACTGATGCATATGGAAAATTAGGATTTTCGTCAAACATAAGTTTAGACTTTAAGTCTAACAAGCTATAAACATTCTTTTTCTCCTCTTGTATGATTGATACATTGAATTTTATTTCAGAAATTTGTTTTTCAACATCATCTAATAGTTGGTGGAAAACATATAGTTACATTAAAAATACTGTTACTTAATAATTTTATTTCTATGTTAAGAAAAATAAATTAAAAATCTTTACATGTTAGTTTTAAATATTAGTAGACTTAAAATTGCTCGTGACAATACTTTTTATTATATACCTTTCATAGAAGATGTAACATAATCGGGATTATTAATTAATGTACGTATTTTTGAAATCATTTCTTTTGCTAAATCTGGTTTACCTAATTTTAAGTAACATTTCACTAAACGCAAATGTAATTTGTAATGTATTTCCTTAGGACATTTAAATTGAATTGCTAGTTCAATATCTTTTATGCAGTCCTTAGCATTATCATTTGGTGAATATTACACATGAAATAAAATAAGAATGTATGTATATGTGTATAAGAAAACTTAAATGTAATAGGAAAATGTTAAACATTATATACATTATTATAGAAAATTCATATATGAGTGTCTGCCTGCATAGTTACTTACATGGTATCTATTTAAATAAAATAAAGATGCAGATCGATTTGCAATAGCCACTGGTAATTCAGAACTCTTTGCTGGAGCATATAGTGCACATTTTGTGTAAAATTCTATACTCTTAGAATAGTTTTTAGCTTGAAATTGTTTATTTCCTTTTTCTTTAAAATTTCGTGCTAATGCTATGGATTTTGATTCCTTTTTATTGTAACAGTGCTTTAACCATAAAGACACAAGTTTTCTATGATAGAAATTATTCCACATTATATTTGTAATAATGTACAATTATTGTAACTATGGTGTTGTAACAAAAAATCTATTAATCACTTGTTTACATTTCATTGTTTACATTTACCTTGAGCTCTCATCACTCCATAATAAAGACATTAATTCATGTTCATGTTTTACCCTTTCCTTGAAAGCATGCATTTTTGTCAAATTAGATGTAAGTTCTTCCAACACATTATGCCACTTCATTTTATTATAAGTAAATTAATTTATATTTACGAAGAACTATAGAGTAAATGAAAATTTAAACATCATTTCCTTTTGTATGTATATCCATATTTCCATATATATATATAAATCAAATAGTTTAATATATAATCATTCCATGGCAAAAGAAAAAATAATTTGTATAAATTATTAATTTATAACAAGAAAAACCAAAATATTGACAAGAGACAGTTCATGTCCCATGGTTTGAAATACCGATTGTGTAGAAAAAGTGGAAATTTTATTATGCCCTCTACAAATTAGAGCGGTGAGTTTACCAGAATGGTAAGAGAATTCCCGAACCGCATAACAAAAGTTTACATTAAATGTTTACCATATCTTTCATCGGTATCCGGAGACTTGACACATAGATGGTAAGTCCATTTCTATATCATCAACTAAATAATACACCGACGGGAGGCAGAATAGAATTATAACGTTACCAACGTAGTACAAAGAAATACAAATGAATAAATGAAAAACGTGTTTTTTTTTATTTTTTTGCCTTAATATTAAATTTTTCAGACCATTGAATACGAAGTACTATGAAATGTCCAATCTACTCTGTTTCTCGTCAGTGATTCTTAATTGTACAATTATCCTTTGCTGGTACGATCGTTTCCTGTATGATCGTCCAAGCGCTTTCTTTGGAACTTTGTATTTCCGTCTATAGGCAATAGAGAGGAGGTCAAAGCCCGCCATTACGTGTTCCAAGGGGGTTATTAAGGCGCAATTCTTTAAATATTGATTTGAAAGTGGGTTGCAGTCGGAGGGCGGAAGCTCAAGAAGGTTAGAGAGAAAGAAGGAGGAGGCAGAGGTTAGACGAACGAACGAGATGAGATGAGAAGGTGGTTGGGAAGCGAAGATCGTCTATTATATACGAAGGGTGCGGTCGCTCTCTATGGATTTTTCCTCTCATTAGAAATGCTGAAGCGTTCACGTATAAAATTTTAATTATCCAGCCACTTAAATTTTTTGAAGTGCCACACGGCTTACATTATTCACAGCCTGTGCATTGAAAGCGTTCGAACATTTTAAAAGTATTTATATTTTCACATAGTATCCGATAAAAACAGTTAAGTTTAATGCTTTATATACATGCCCCGTGCACGCATGAACTGTTTCTCAATTCAACTAGAATCAAATGTTTGCACGTTGAGCTTTTAAAATTGCTTTGTATCTTCAGTGTATTCCTATTCTATACAAATAATTTATCACGTATTTTGTACAGCTTACATTACAGCCTTATTTGTACGTTAACACTGTTTATCGATAATTCATTATTTTTAGTCACTCTAATTTATATTTGGCATGTTTAAGTATCCAGGAAAGCATTCAGGTCGCCGAGTTCTCGATACCGGCAAACGCGGCCATGTTTTCGAAGGCGTTCGCGAACGTCGCTCCGCTTTTGTTTCGTGTTTAGCGCGACCACCACCGTCATCAGTACCACCCTTGCACAGGGTCTCGTTCCTCAGTCGAGCCGCATGCCCCCAACTTTCGCATTACTGGCATCTACGTGCCTTTTTTTTCTGTCGCAATGGTTGGGACGAGAGAGAGACGGAAAGACAGGCACCCCTATGGATTTTTTTCCGTACCGCGGGTTCCCCCTGACGGTGTTTGCCCCTCCATCCCTTGTCGGGATCGGTCCACGATGTTTTAAGGGCTCGAGCAACCTCTCCCGCTGGCTCTAAAAAAATTCAACCCCCAATTTGTAGGGTTGGCGGCCTGTTTAATTGCGATATCCAGTACCTTCTTGCGATTCATCTTTTTTTCAGAGGTTTCTCTTCTTCGCGCGTACTCTCTTTCTCTTTCTCTCCCTCTCGGTTTGCGGTTTTTTACTTCCATCTCTCGTGATTCTCGAGGCGTCAAGGTGGCTCATAAGAGCTCGCTGCTCGTTAATCTTCGAAAAGTCCTTTTTTTTCCCTACCACGTCACGGAAGCTGCTCGAGAATAATAATGAGACTAATCCGTTTGACACACCCTCTATATTTTAATTCCTTGCATGAATCGCTTCTCGAATCGACCACTTGAAGATCCTACTGGTTAGAAGTATACTCCTTCGGACGTGATAGCGTCGACGAGGTGTTTGTGTTAACGAATCAGTGAAACCAGCGTTTACTGATTGAAGATCCTCTTTGTTCAATAAATTCGGCGCAAGTGGTGTTCTTTGACGAATACGTACAATTACGCGTTTCGTCGATCACTCGAACGTTGTACAATTTAATAACTTGTAAATGAATAATGTCCGAAAGAACATAATCAAGGAGTATTCATCGACGTGTTATAAAATCCGACGTTTCAATTTTACAGACTTTTTCGCTAACTATTCTTTGATCCCCCGAAATGTCGAACTTCTCACCTTATCGACGTTTATATATTACATCGAAACGAAATTCCCCGCGTTTGTAGAACACAGGGTCGTAAAGAATTGAACAACAATTAATACTTTGTTTCTCGCGAGCATTCCCGTGGAACGAGAATACATCGGAAGGTGTCGACAGATAAGAGGGAAACTTCAGTGCCGCGAAGTACTTCTCGAAGTGACGTAAATTGCGCCTTCCACTTACGTTCCTCATAAACCGCGGCGTTATTTGAAGAATAAGTTAGTCACAGCAGAGGAGAAAGAAAAAAAAGTCGTAACGCGCGTCGTGTCTATCCATTAACCCTCACGAGTGTACCGACGCGCGGGCATAATGCGGAGTTTACAGTCCTGGCGCGCCACCCCTTTAGCCACGCTGTGGGATACCGTGCACCCTTGTAACCAGTCTAATTGCGATATCGCTTTTTTTGCCGGTCCGCGTTGTTTCGTTTTTTTTTCCTCCCTCTCTCTTTCTTTCTCTGCCCGGGTCGTTTCGCTCCTCGCCGCTTCGTCTATCGTTTTTTGCTCGATATTTTCCTGCCACCCGGTAATTATGTGGGCGCGGTGGACCAAACAAGGGAAGGAGCCCGGTCGCACCGCGGAAGCGGCGAGGAAAAAAAGTCGTTTTGCATATTTAAATCCCGCGGAGGGACGGCGAATCGTGTGCCGTGGTTGGTGGAAGCGAAACCGGGCAAGGGGTTGCCGTTGCGAGCGACGAAGATGAAGACCGACGTTAGGGCGCGTGCGCTGCGACAATGGGTTATGTTTGCACATCCGAAAATTGGCCGGCGTGGAAAAACAGGCGGCTGTCTCTCGGCGTGAGACAAAAAGTGCGGCAGGGCGCAGGGAAGAAAGGGAGAGTGGCTAATCGAAGGACACGCGTTAAATATCGTTAACCCCGTTACGCCGGTGCGCGCCGCCAAAGGGTTTCTTGAATTCGTACGAAATAATTAGGTTCCTATGAATTATGACGTTCCAGGGACAGGTCTTGCCGCCGGTTGAACGCATTTAACGAGTAATTTATTACTTTTGAACGGAGTCTTTGAGAATTCTAAATGGACTCGATGCGTCATGGAGAGTTATCATTGTAATGTTTCTCAGAGGAAACTTTGCGACGATCTGATCAGGATAATTCTAGTGTAAATATTTCTGCCGTACGTTCGGTGTTGATCAATTTTCTAATAAACATTTACGCGCGGATTATTTGCAAAACAATTTTATCGTGGTGGATTTAACGTTTGAGAGATCGAAATGATTCAAACGAACTGACGACAGTTAAACATTCTAACACCTCATAGACGTAAATGACTGAGAATTCGTTTATTTCTCGATAATTATAAAATTCCAACGTGTGAAAACTTCACACCTCGAGATCAGATCTGTACGCAATTTTAATTTAGTGCAAGGTAGTTCCGTGATTTTCCAAACTCATTCTTTCAGAGGGGAGAGTGAAATCCTTCTAATTATTTTCGATACTGATCCTGACGTGAACGATAGGGCATCTATTTCCACCCAGGTGTCCGAACGCAACCGTGCATCACTCGCATTGACGTTTCGTTCTGGATACGTGAACGGAGTCGGGCATCCATCGTCGGGATTAGTCGGATCCAATTTTCTGCGGACGATAAATTAGAATTTATGAAATGAGCGTGGAAGGCAACGCGAGTCCTTCGAGGGTGAAACCTTACGAGGGAGGTCCACTCCCTCCCGGCTTGGGAACTCATGAGAACCATCCTCACCCCCGCATATAAAAAGTGCCCATTGCATACCCCCTCGCACACCGGATCTAATAGTTTCTTCCTCCATTTTTTCCTTACGGGGTGGTCCCCTTGGCATTCGAAGGGCCAGTGTCTCTCTGATCATGAAAACTGTTCATTTTCACGGGATACCATCGATCGCCGCGATATCTTTCAGTAAAATTCTCTTGGCATAGTCAGGTTTGCATTCTAATCTAACGAGTACCATTATCGCCTAATGAACGATATTAAATTTTTATTTACAACTTCAGAGACAATCGTGTTATTGTGATACATGAATAATTTCACTGGTGGAACAAAGATAAGAGGGTAACGATAATCTTTCGATTTCTAACGCTTAAACTTACGATACACAATTTTGTTGTAGATATTCCTTCGTTTCTGGTATTAATTTTTTAATATCTCTTATAGGCTAACGAGGGTTTATTTCAAAGTTAATTTAGAACACTCGAATTTAAGAGAATAAAATAAGATAATTATAATTCAAAGATTAGCTAATAAATATGTTTCTTGATAAATCTTAGCACGTTTGATGGATGAAGTAACAAATCGAAATGTAAATTTGTCATTTAACAAGTTTACATGGAACGACAAGGTTGTAATTTAATAAAATGCCTTCATGTGTTTCATTTGATTTTTATATTAACTGTTATTTAATCAGTTACACGGTTTATTGATTATTTAAACAATAGTTTAATTAAATGTGTGTTATAATAGGTATTCGTGAGTTCTCTTTGGGCAAGGATACGACATCGAACGCTCGTATTCAACAGAATGGGTCGAAGTGTTCGATAGACATCGAGGACCGACAGATGTTTCCCATTTTTTTCACACTCTTTTCTCTATCGACGGAACACCGTTATTTTCGCAAAAAAATTTCCCGAAACCGATCGGCTGCTTCGCGCACACATGATCACGTTCCGTTCCACGTACGGGCGTCCCATTGAACGAATCGTTTTCTTTCAAAACGTTCTCTCTTTCACGAATCGATGGAAATATTTTTCCAACATGTTCCAACGGACAATTCAACGAATTTCTTGACCAGATCTAATGCTATTCTAATTTCTCTATGATAATGTTCATTTTTAATAACGATACAAAGCATTATTTAAAATTACTTGCACACAATTTATTGTTCCAACGGACTT